CTACCAGCCACACCATAAAGATATTATGTGACAACAAGGCTACTATAAGTATTATAAAGAACCAAGTTCATTATGATAGAGCAAAGCATATGGAGATAAACAGACACTTTATCAGGAGAAAATTGATCATGAAGTTATAAGTGTTTATCTTGCAATGAGGTCAATTAGCACTTGATTCTTGTGGAATATAAGCTCCTTGAATGTATGGATTCTTAATTTTATTATGACCAATCCAAAACTTTGACTGATCAAACAATAATCCTTTTGATTCCAAAGATGCAAAACTCTAATTCAGATGGGCCTCAACAACAATAAACTTGAAACAAGGTTAAGGTTAGGAAACAATGCTTGATGCTCCTATAATGGAAATGGAATCTAGGGGTCAAAATTAGGGTATGACAGTAGTGTAAGTAATTTTGGTAAGCTATAAGAATATGTATTGATGTATTTTGAGACTGTTATGGTAGAAATGATGTATTTACCATGGCTGAGACAATCGTAAGTTTGTTCAAAGATTCATATCTAGATTGGGTATGCATTGTTTAAGAAGATATATCCTAGAATTGGACTCTGGAAAATTTTTGGTTTATTTTATGGAATTTGAGAGTTTGTCCAGACATGTTTATATTTGTTTCTATTTCTAATGCAGGTGTAATGGATGAAAAAAAATGGATGAGTTAGGCTCAGACGTATGCCCCAAACCACATCGGTATGACGTGATAGAGCTGCAGTGAGGACCACGAGGCCGAGAGTTACTAATACTCGTTTGACATTGCATCTACTTTGCATCCCTAAGGTTCCTAGCTATTTGGTTCTCGTAGCTAAGTCTTTCAGAGATATGATGTTGCAAATCTTAAAGTTATTGAAGTTCCTAAAGCCCCTGAAGGCCCTAAAACGCCTAAAGCGCATTAGAAAGCCACTATCAATGATCCTTTAGAGATTTACCCAATATGCCCATTTGACACCTCCTTACTTCATCTATATGTCGATCATGCTGCTATGCATGTATGTGAAGCGGAGATATATTTATGTTCTTTTGAAGTTCATATGTTTTTAACTAATTAAATCGATGCTGATGTGCTATTATCTTTCTACAAAAGCATTATTGTTTGAAATCAGTAAACCACATCAAGAAGATATTGGAGTTGGCACAACCCATTAATGCTTCATTCATTGATGTTATCTGCTGCTTCAGGGGTGGATCATCTCCCACTCCCATCGCATCACCGAATGGGAAGTTGCGCCTGAAAAGAATAAAGACTAGCCATGTGCAACTACTTTTTTTTGGTACAGGGGGAATTGTATGGTCGATCCATTCAAAGTATCTCTTGATCGTATGGTACTAGATGGCATTTGCTTCTGCCCATACGAGGGTCACCGCCTTACGCGTTAGTTTGATGTCATTTCCTTATATTCTGGATGAATGTCATGTAGGTTATCTCTTATATATCCTTATCTGTTCGAGCGAGCGATGCGCCAATTTGGATGGTTTCGAGAGTCACTTGGTACCAGAGAAGTATCTTCGGGTGTCAACTCCTGTACACTGGGCTTATGCAGACAACTATATGACAGGGTTCTGTAGGGTGTCACACCCTATCATGACACCAGACGCTTCTAGAAGACCACTTAGGCTAGCTAACCAGGAGGTACTTAAGGTTCAGGCTGACTAGGCCGAGAGCGTGACATCGGTCTTCCGACGTGTTGCAAAGATGGATAGAGCAACCATAAAGGTTGGACTCTTTGAGGATGGAAGCCTCTAGTTGTCCCTCGTGGGGAATATGGTTGCTGAGTTACGAAATATCGTGTAGTACAAGCGGAGGAGGAGAAGGGGGAGGGGGGGGGGGTCGACATACTCATTAGTTTATGTTTAGATGTATTATTTTTTTATTTTTTTATTTTTGGACAAATATTATGTATAGTTTTGAATTTTTAATTAATGTATGATTTTTTTCCTTTAATTTAACTTTAATTAAATTTGATTTTACTTTAATATAACTTGAGTTTACTTTAATAAAACTTGGCCTAAAAAAATTACAATGTCGACAATGGTTCTGTTCTGAAATCATTCAGGGGTTTCCATGGCTGCATCTTTGAAATAAATTCCTAATGCAATTTACATTCTTCCAATACTTGTAAATGGACTTCCGAAGACATTTTAGAGATGCATCTCCGGATACACTCAAATAATATACATAGATGTATCTACAGACCAAATTTTGATAAAAGTTGATCAGATATCAAAATAACGCATTTTAGTGTGATTTTGATGCGTCTAGAAATACATTTCTGAATATATGAAAAATAATTTTAAATTTTCAAAGGTGTGATATACATAGGCGAACCTAAGGGAATTATTTAGACCCATTATTCACTAACAATCCTAACATTCAAAGTAGTTGCATTAATATTAAGCTTGTCAAATTTACTTCATATTGAAGTAATATTAAAATTAATATATATATATATATATATATATATATATATATATATATATATATATATATATATATATATATATATATATATATATATATATATATATATATATATATATATATATATATATATATATATATATATATATATATATATATATATATATATATATAAAATATACATATATTTATATAATAATATAATACATTAATAAATTAAATTTTAAATTAATTATAAAAGTATATATTTAATCAACATAATATCATAGTCATATACTTATATCAAATTAAATAAATTACTCCATGAAATAAATTATTTTCTAAATTATTAAAAAAAATAAAACTATAGTAATTATCATCTATCTCACTATTACATGATCAAAAAGATAATCCCTTTTATTTGTATTTGTATTTTGAAAACAAAAAAAAATAACGAAAAATAATAGTAACATATTTTTACTTAGATTTTAAAACGAGTGGATTAGAATTGAGTGAAATGAAATGATATGGAGTGATGAGCCGAATCAGTTTAAAAATAATTTAAAAATCGGTTTGACAATTAAATCGTTGAACTAGATTTATGAATCAAATGAGTTGAATATGAGCGAAAAATTAAGTTCGTTAACTAAATGAGATAAACTTGAACTATACATAGTTTGACTCGTTAAGTTCACGAGTCAACTCAATTATATATGAGAAGAATTATATTTTCTTTAAGAGTAGATTTAAATATTTACTCCAAATCTTAACACTAAATTTATCGCTTATGTACTATTGATGATAGTAAAACTGACAATTGCATTTAGAGTCATCTTTGTTGGAGGCATAATGACATTTGCTAAAACAACATGTGCAATGAAGGTTGTAGGTTGTGTAATCATTCTATGATATAAATGTATCAATTTATAATAATTTTTGATGTAATATTTCATTAAATTGTAAGGTTCATAAATATTTAGATGAAGTTGTGGATCTTTGAGACAACTTTAAACTTCAATTGAGTAGTTTTTTAATTAGACTTTCAAATGTATCTCTTGAAAGTTGTGTAGTTTTTGAATTAGTAAATTTTTTTTGAGATAAAGTTAAATTCCAATTTGATAACTTTTATTTTATTCTAAATTTTTTTTTGAAAAAATATTAGTTTAAAATGTCAAATATATTAAAAATAGACTTGAAAAAAATACCTTTTAAACCCGTGAACCAAGTGAGTTGAACCTAACAGATGAACCTAATGAGTTGAACCAAATTATTCGTGAACTTATAATGAGTCGAGTTTGAGCTTTAAAAGAAGTTCGTGTCGAACTCGAATCGAGGTTTAAGATAAACCAATTCTTAACGAGTTGAGTCGGACTAAGGTAAGTTCGACTATACTCGACTCATTTTCAACTCTAAGTGGAGTGAAGTGGAATAAAATAAAAATACCATTCAATTGTTTTAATAGTTAATGACGGAACAAAACAATTTTATCATTCCGTCCAAATCAAAAGGTAAAAAAAAATAATAGATTGTGATAGAATGCCTATAGAAATATACCTATGGAATTAATTCATCCATTTTTATTTCATCAATCCAAATATACCTATGGAATTCAACCTTACTAAACCATACAAATTTAAGACAAATTCATTATTCATCAATGATATTTTATGAATTTATCAAAATTCAAATTTAAAAATGCAACAATTCATTTTTAACCTTTATAAACTTAATTATTTATGAATATACATTTCAAAAATCGATTTATAACTTTAACTTTAATCCTACTATACACCATCAATTTCAATCCAACCGTTTATCTGATCACAAGTTAAACCGTCCAATTGTATCCATTTTTTTAATTTATTTTTACCATTAATATACAATCCATTGAACTGACTAATTTAATTTGACTAATTTAATTTGGAAGTCAGCTCTGCCATAAGTGGTTAAATTTCTCTTTCAATTGCAGTTGTGAAGGATCAAACCATAGTCCTTCTTATCAAATCAATCGTTAATCACCCCTAAATAAACTAATATTCGATAATCCTACCTAATTTTGATACAATAATTATCACACTTAATTTAACTTCTATTAAATGCACTTTAAATCACACCTAGTTTAATAGTTCACCCAATTGCAAATTTTAGATTACCCCACAATCAACTGCCCTACCAGGCTAACTACTCAACTATTTACATATGCATCTTATGTATTGCCCTATTTTTCTTTATTTATTTTTTCTAGTTTTTATTTATTCATTCAATGAACTAATAAATTAATTATAATAATAATCTGAAAATAAATAAAAAATAAAAATAAATTTGACAGAGAAATAAACACACAACACAAGAAAAACAACATTGGAGTTTCCTCAACCAAAATCGCCACAATCGCTTCGGTGCTACCTAAGATCATTGTTTTTTCTGTCTTTCATATGTTCTTGCTTATGTATCTCCCCACTTCATTTTCTTCTTCATTCTTCTCTTCAATATAATATAATTTCTTCACATATAGATATAAATTTCTCTGCTTGTATTTGTATAGCGTAATAATTTGTAGCACTTTGGTTGGTGTTGTTGTTGTAAATGGCAAATGCTTCTGGCTTGTTTTCTACTCCCTCGGTTCCTAACTTCACTCTAAGGGTTCGCCCTTTCTCTTCAATTCATCGATTTCAAGGTTTCTCCACCAAAGTTTTTTGCTCTGGAACTATCGAAGGAGCTCAAGACTATGCTTCCCCAACCCAATCTCGAATACCCAGGTTACTTTTTCCTTTTTAATTCATTTATCCGATCTAATTTTGTTTCAAAGTTTTGATTTTTGATAATACTTATGAGCATTTTAGTTTTCATAGGTTTTGAATCAGGGTTTTCTCATGGTCTACATTTGGTGATTTTATTTGGGTTGGGATCATAATTCGAATAGTGCTGTTTGTTTTTTTGAGTATTCATGTAATTCAAGTTTGTTAAATTTATAGGCTTGTAAGTCAAGGGTGTAAGTTGGTTGGATGTGGTTCTGCTGTGCCAGCTCTTCAGATTTCGAACGAAGAGCTTTCAAAAATTGTTGATACTAATGATGAATGGATATCTGTTCGTACCGGGATTCGAAGACGACATGTTCTTTCCGGTTAGTCTTTTGTTATTGGCATGAAAAAGATAGGTACTTTGTTACTGGTTAGATGACATGTCTAGTTTCAGATTTAGGCTCTTGATTGTGAATTGGCAAGATAATCCCATAAATATATAAATGGAAACTTGTATAGAATCTTTTTGGATGTTTTACAGTAAATTAATGATCTTGGTTTGGTGTTGCCTGTTGAGCTAACAGGTGGAGATAGCTTGATAACATTAGCGGCAGATGCGGCTAAGAAAGCGCTTGAGATGGCAAAGGTTGATCCGGATGATATTGACCTTATATTGATGTGCACGTCGACACCAGAGGATCTTTTTGGGAGCGCTCCGCAGGTATGGGTTTATGACATGTCATATCAATAATAATTCTTTACATTCTGCTGATGTCTTTGTCTGTAAGCTTAGATAACTAATTGATTAATAGAGTACTTGAGAAATTATGATATGTTGCATTGCAAAATCGCTATTGAGTATTTAGCTTATTCCTATGCTGGTATCTCGCAGATTCAAAAACAACTTGGCTGCACGAAAAACCCATTGTCTTATGATATTACGGCTGCTTGTAGTGGATTTGTATTGGGTTTATTATCAGCTGCTTGTCACATTAGGGGTATGAATTGGTTATTTTGCTTACTCATTTCTCGCTAAATGTGGTGTAATTCATTTCTCTTTATCTGTCTGAATGCAGGGGGTGGATTTCGTAATGTTCTAGTTATCGGAGCTGATGCTCTTTCACGATATGTTGATTGGACAGACAGAGGAACCTGTATTCTTTTTGGTGATGCTGCTGGGGCTGTAGTAGTACAGGTAATTGTTTATCTTCGTTTGTTGAATGTGTAGCAAATATCAGTTAGCAATTTGAACTTGTTTCTTGACTGCAACTATTGTTTAGCCTGCCTTGTTTGTCGCGAGATATCGAGTCTTTTGTAAAATTTAAGACGATAGCAAATTGCTGTCCTAATCTTTGGAACAAATTTTCCATTGCAAATACAAGATTAAATAAGCTTTGAGATGTTATCGGTATTATCTTTACATTGCAGGCATGTGACAGCGAGGAAGATGGTTTATTCGGTTTTGACGTGCATAGTGATGGTAATGGTATAAGGTATGTGCGTCTCGTATTATTGAAAAGAGTTGTTCTCTTCGTCCTCTAAGCTACCCTCTCTTGATGTAGACATTTGAATGCTGGTATTAAAGAAAACGAGTCAAATAACGCATTGGATTCAAATGGTTCTGTGCGGAGTTTTCCTCCCAAGCAGTCGTCATATTCGTGCATTCAAATGAATGGAAAAGAAGTCTTTCGGTTTGCTGTTCGATGTGTGCCTCAGACGATCGAATCTGCCCTTGAAAAGGCTGGTCTCCCTGCGTCTAGCATTGATTGGTTACTTCTCCATCAGGTACATAAAAGTCCCTAAAACAAAAGTCAAGCATCTGATATTCATTGCGGCACATACGTTGTGGTATTATCACCATTTCTAATTGGCATACATCATAATCTATGCAGGCAAACCAAAGGATTATCGATGCAGTTGCGACACGGTTAGAAATCCCTTCAGAACGGGTCATATCAAATTTAGCTAACTACGGTAACACAAGTGCAGCTTCCATTCCTCTGGCGTTAGATGAAGCAGTAAGAAGTGGAAAAGTTAAAGCAGGCCAAACTATTGCAGCTGCTGGTTTCGGCGCTGGTCTTACTTGGGGTTCGGCAATTGTTCGTTGGGGCTGAATCGTGCCAGCATTGCATTAGCAAATAGAGAAGATTTTCAAGTACAAGTGCAAGTGAAGCTCTCTAAGTAAACCAGATTTCTTAAACATATTGGCGAGTTAGCACAAGGATTAATAATCAGAACATCCAGCACTTCACAACATCAACATTGTTCCTTTTTTTTGTCTTCAATTCATATAGTCATTGGTCTTGTTTTTTCATGTACCATTTTTTGGGATATGTATTTGTTATTGAGGTTTATTTGAAATTAAAAGAGGCTTATTATTAATGTAAGAAACAATACATGATGGATAGTTGATGCTTCACTGTACTCTAGACAATGTTTTCAACTGTCAACACCAACCAACTACCTAATTTTAAATGCTTCATTTTCCTTGCCTACTTTATGTAGCACTTTTTTTCGTGAAAAATAAAGTTTTGGAGGCATTAAAGGTGCCAAAAAGTAAGTCACCAAACTTTCACACAGAACTGTATATGCTGTGGTAACTAAGAGTTTCTTGCATGTAACATTGATTATGAGTTGTGAGAAGTTTGTAATAGGGGACAGGGTTGTCCTTTGAAAGTGAAATAGGTGTTTAGTTGCACGATGGAACTCATCTAACGCACGTTTGCAACACAAAAAGTCATTCCAAGTTCTTTTTCATCTTATGGAAGCATTGTGAAAGGGTGAACAAGTCCACAAGTATATCTAAAAGGAATTGGATTTTCTGCTGTTACATTTGGGTGACTTTAGGCCATTTTTTCCATTTCCATTTATTTAAAAGTAAAATTAAAAAAATACAAAACATTAAGATGAGAGAGAGGGATATGTAGGTGAGAGAAAGAGAGAAAGGTATCGTGCAGTTGGTGCGTTAAAGTTAGTCAATCCATATCCGTAAAATATATGGGCTGTCAGATCTCAAATCTCGTGAAACTGTAGATAAGGACATTACTTTTTATACTTTGGAGATTTCTTTTTCCATAGCTAAATATTCTCAAACTTGGTGAAAAGTAAAAAATATCATCTGTTTTCAGAGATACATCTTTGGACGCACCGTTTTTTCATAAAATAAGCGCAAATGGGTGACCGTCTCTCACTTTGCTAAAATTAAATTCGGAGATGCATCTCCGTATGTGTTTTAGGGTTTGTCTGCATATTCATCTCTAGATTAACCCTTATTTTCAAATTTTGGAAGTTCTTCCGAGATGCATCTTCGAACGTGTTTAATTAATATATAACATGCACTATACCCTCCCTCTTCTTCTTCTTCTTCTTCTTCTTCTTCTTCTTCTTCTTCTTCTTCTTCTTCTTCTTCTTCTTCTTCTTCTTCTTCATTTTCTGAAACTTTTGAGATACTCCCATTGACGATCGTGAGCAACATTTTTACACTCCATTTTTCAAAGATCGACACTACCTCTACTTCAAGCTTTCCAATCCCAACTCACTCCACTTACTGCATTCAACATTTTTCATCCTCATCAACACTTTTTTAAGTAAGTTTCTCATTTAACTTTTTTTTTTTTATTGTTTTGATTAATGTATTAGATAAAATAGTTTGTTTTAAATGCATTAGATAATAGCCACATCGAAATAGGTAGCTGTTAGAGACAAGCACTTCCAGTAGGTTGCATTTTGGGTTGTTATGGGAAGACTGGTATGCGTTCATGCGACTGATATTGTTATATTTTTTTAATAGGAGCACGAATATTTGATGTCTATTAACCACAACAATTTTTTTTAAAGCTTTATCAGTTTGAGAGTAATTGGTTCCAAAGTGTAATCCAATACTTTGGTCTTGCCGACCTGCGTTGCTTCGGGTACAAGACCATTAGCCATGGCATAAATGGGACTTTGGCTGAGAGATGACATAAAGAAATTTTATTTTTCCACTTTTTGATTGGCGAGATGACGATTACACTAGATGACGTAGCTTTCCTTCTACACCTTCCAATCAGGGGAAGTTACTAATATTGTTTTCTTATTCATTTTCAGGGATGAATCATATCTCAGTTTCACTGCATACACGAGTTTGATCGTGTGGTAAACTATACTGAGGATTGGCCACATGTTTGCATGTATTTCCCACACAAAGGGAGTGATGATGTACGGTTGTTCCATGTGTATATTGATCAGATTTAAGATGATGACATCGACTGGATAATATACAACACTCACCTAGACATTGTTGCCTTCGACCCCATTTCATTTTACTCCGGATGACTCGCATGTGGGAGGAAATTGATGTGCAGATCTGCCAAAGCAATGCATGCATTAGTTTGAATATGTGCAGATCATTTAGAGATTGCCCTTCGAGTATGGTGGATTACGAGAGTCATCTGGTACAAGAGGAGTATCAGAGCATGTCAGCCACAATTTAGAGTATACTCTATAGTGTGTCACACTCTATCATGACACCAAACGCTCATTGACGTCCATATAGGTCTGCGCATGAGGAAATCCTAGAGAATGAGTAGACCAGGGATGACCATGTCATTGATGTGTTACCGATCTGTCAAAATATTATATGGATTACATATGAGGGCATAAAGTCTGGGCTGTGTGAGAGAGGTAGTGATGATGCAATTTCCCTCGCACATGCCATTCTTATCGAGCCATATAATGCCTTGGGTTACTGGCAGAAGAGGAGGAGGCAGGGGTTAAGATTAGACATACACGATAGATTATGTTTTTTTATTAGTATTTTGGGATGTTTTAGTTTTACTTTCCATACTTTGAGAACAATGTTTGTAATGTTATGAGATGTTTTTTTTAATTAATGCATTACCTTGTTCTATGATGTTCGTGTTTATTAATAATTGAATCAAATTAAGGCATTGTTAGTCGGATTAAAATGACTTTTAATTCAAAAAATACAAACTTAGGATAATGTTTCTGCCCAAGATGCACGTAGATAACATTTTGGAGATGCATATCCGAAATAATATTGTTTAAATAGCTTAAAATTCAATTTCAAAGATGCATCTCCGAATACGCCTCAAAATTTTCGTAGATGTATTTCATGACGAATGTTTTGAAAAATGGGGTGGATGCTAGATTTATGAAGGGTAAGATGGTTAAAGGTGCGTCCGAAGATACATCTCCGAAACACTTGAGAAAAACTTTGGGTTTTCTGAGGTGTGAGCCACATCATAAGGGTGAGAAAAGAGATTCCCTTGTACTTCTAGTGGTGCTCATGCACACTTGTGAAAAATAAAAATGGCCATATAATTTAAAAATGTATTTTCAGACGCACCCCATTCCATACCCCATCTATTCCTAAGTGAGTTGCACTCTCATTTTGCTAAAAACTAATACGGAAATGCATATCCTTAAAAAATACGGAAGTATACCTTTGAACGAGTTTTTAGTATAATACACGCTAGACCTTCCACCTTCCACATTTCTAGCAAAACACACCAAAATCTCTTCTCAAGTCATTTCTCTAATACCCTAAGTTTGTTTTATCAATCCAAGTGTTTTTTCTACTCTATTCAACCCAAGTGTTTTGTCAATTACTTCCAAATATTTAGTCAATCCAAGTGATTCAATATAACTACACATTCAGTAAGTTTTAAATCCAAGTTATTTTTTTCACATTTGATTTTCTATACATGCATTATGAAATAAGAACATTAGTTTGTTTAATATACATTAATATATAGGTGGTTACACCTAGTGTTAGGTAGTTTATTAACCAATGCAGATTGTGCCATTTTCGTTTTTCGCGCGTTTCTGCCATTTTTGTGTTTTCTGAGTTGCAAGAAACTACAGAAGTGCACATCTATATTTTTTCAAATTTTGATTTTCTAGGAACACGCAAGTGCACTTCAGTATTATGTTTTTCTGCATTGTTTGGTTTGATTTTTGAACGTTTTTCATCTAGGTTTGGTTTTTTCTACTTTTTTCTTGTTTGCCTTATTTAATTATAGGTAACATGACTGACAACTAAGAATGGTTGAGACACATTAGGGTGTCCTAGAAGGCATATGATAGCAGGGAAAAAGTTGATCCTCACGATCACCAGTTGGTTCCAAATCATTTGATGCAGAAGCATCAACTTTTATGGTTCAGGTGTCTCCAACTTCGTCTTCCTAGAGGCAGTGTCACCCGATGCTACCCACGAAGACCCACCAGTATAGTTTGATGCACTTGCTACCGATGTTTTCATTCCTGAGGAACTTGCAGAAGGCCCTTATAACACTTCATTATTGCCTCTATATGCAAATCATGTTGCTAGGCACATGTGAGACGAAGAGGTACAATTTATCTGTATTTATTCTTTATAACACATATGTTTTAATATTCAAACTTTCTGATGATGATGTATTTTTTGTAGTACTGTGATGCTTTAAAATGCATAAACCATGATAAGTGAATTGCGAGGCTTCAACAACCCAAGGAAGAATGGTTTCATGATGCCATGCAGTTATCTAGGATGTGAGATTTATGCATGATTAGTTATACTATTATTAACCATGGTATGTTGTTAGCTTCCATTGAGATATGACACTAAAAAATGTCATTTTTCATCTTCTGCATGATGAGATGTCCATCACATATGATGAAGTGTCATCCATACTACATCTTTCGATTAGGAGAAAAATATTGTACCACTTAAGAATGACCATACATGATGCACTAGATATGATGCTGACCTATTTGGGAGCTGATCTAGAGGATGTCCTAAAAGAGTTGGAAGACACCAAAAGGTGTCATGCTAGATTTGAATTCTTAGATAATCTGTATACATACCACCTGACTATAGGAGTGAAGGCTGATGGTGATGATGCACAATTTATGCATCATAGAGTGTGTGCATTAAAGTCATGCCTCATGTACTTGGTTGACACATTCATATTTGTGGACAAGAGTTTTTATTACGTCAACATGGTTTTACTTAAATGCTTCATTGACTTCGAGCGGATTCATGATGCACTAGGAGTGAAGGCTGATGGCGATGATGCACAATTTATGCATCATAGAGTGTGTGCATTAAAGTCATGCCTCACGTACTTGGTTG